AGGCTGTAGTGAGCTGGGGGTCGGCCTCTTCTCTCGTGTCATTGGTGATAGGACCAGGGGGAATGGCTTCAAGCTACAGCAGGGGAGATTCAGGCTGGACATGAGGAAGTATTACTTTTCGGAAAGGGTGGTCAGGCACTGGAACGGATGCCCAGGGAGGTGGTGGAGTCACCGAGCCTGGGGGTGTTCAAGGAAAGGCTGGATGTTGTATTGAGGGACATGGTTTAGTAGGAGCTATTGGGAATGGGTGAACGGTTGGACTGGATGATCTTTTAGGTCTTTTCCAACCTTGGTGATTCTATGATTCTATGATTCTATGGGCCTGCGGCCCGCGGGGCGGAACTGCATTCAGTGCTGTTATCGCTCGGCGCCGTTATGTTATCAGAAGTTGATAAAAAATGATAAAATGTGATAAAAACACCCATTCTGCTCACGCCTGGCTGCTGAGGGCTGGGCTCACCTGTGGCTTCCTTCTTTGCTTGGAAGCTGCAAGCCTGGAAGCAATTTATCAAGTGGAGAACCTGAAAACATTCCTCGTTAGCACTGCTGCCATTCGTACCTCTGATCACAGAATGGCCGGGGTTGGGAGGGACCTCAAGGATGATGAATCTCCAACCCCCTGCCTCATGCAGGGCCACCTGATGGCACAGGACGTCTCCCCTCGCTCCTCCCCTCCATCATCCCTCCCCCTGCTCCTCACAGCAGTGCCTCAGGTCTCCCGCTGCAGAATTCCCCTCCCCAGGCTGGTCCCTCACCTCGAGTTTGGCATCTCAGCTCTTGGACAGGTCTTCAGGGGGAAATTCTTTACCCAGAGAGTGGAGAGGTGCTGAACAGCTGCCCAGAGAGGCTGTGATGCCCCGTCCTTGGAGGTGGTCAAGGCCAGGTTGGACGGGGCCCTGGGCAGCCTGGTTTAGCATTAAACGTGGAGGTTGGTGGCCCTGTGTGTGGCAAGGGGGAGTTGGAGATTCATCATCCTTGAGGTCCCTTCCAACCCTGGCCATTCTGTGATTCTTTGTGTGCACAGCATGCCTGCATCTCAGTGGCACCCGTTTAGGGGTGATGCAGTGGCTGGGCATCGCAGAAACGCTGCATCTCACTGAAATCTGTCATTTTCACTGTCTGTAGCTCCTTGACATCTCTGTGTCCAGGTCAGTGCCCAAGCAGGTTGTACCTGGGGCTGCTCTTGGCTCTGGCAGAGCGGAGCTGCGTGGAGGCAGAGCGCCGTTGAGGGAGGCAGCTCTGCTCTGCCAGCCCTGCGACCCCAACCCTAATCCTAACCCCAACCCCTAATCCTAATCCTAACCCTAACCCTAACCCTAATCCTAATCCTAACCCCAACCCCTAATCCTAACCCCAACCCCTAATCCTAACCCCAACCCCTAATCCTAACCCCAACCCTAATCCTAACCCCAACCCCTAATCCTAACCCTAACCCTAATCCTAACCCCAACCCCTAATCCTAACCCTAACCCTAACCCCAACCCCTAATCCTAACCCTAACCCTAATCCTAACCCCAACCCCTAATCCTAACCCTAACCCTAATCCTAACCCCAACCCCTAATCCTAACCCCAACCCCTAATCCTAACCCCAACCCTAATCCTAACCCCAACCCCTAATCCTAACCCTAACCCTAACCCTAATCCTAATCCTAACCCTAACCCCAACCCCTAATCCTAACCCTAACCCTAATCCTAACCCCAACCCCTAATCCTAACCCCAATCCTAATCCTAACCCCAACCCCTAATCCTAACCCTAACCCTAATCCTAACCCCAACCCCTAATCCTAACCCCAACCCTAATCCTAACCCCAACCCTAATCCTAACCCTAACCCTAACCCTAACCCTAATCCTAACCCTGCCCCTGCTCTTTGTGTCCATACTCCACCTGGGATCGCTGCCTCCTGCCCCGCTGCTGCCCTGCAGCTCGGTTACGGCTCTCCGCGTGCTGGGCGCTGTGGGAGCAGCAGGTGGAGGCAGAGCGCCGCGAGGAAGGGAGGCAGCGAGCAGCGCACGCCGCTCTGCTCTGCCAGCCCTGCGACCCACAGCCCTGAGTCACAGCGGGCGCCTCCCGTCCCGCGCCGTGCTCGGGGCAGCTCCTGGCGCTTCCTGCACGCCTTCACTCCGCAAACCCTCACCCGCGGTGCCACGTGGAGCCGTGGGCTCCTTCCGTGTGCATCAAAGCTTGTTGCAAAACAGACGTGGGGTGGAACGTTTTGTCCCTGCGGCGCAGAGCCTGCGGGCAGCTTCACCTCGTGCGGCACAGCGCGAGCCGTTCTGGGGTCGCTCCCGTTCGCATTGTGGCTTTGAAGCCCATTTCCTCGTGCTTGGTGTACAAGAGCCCACGGTTCTGGCACGGCTCCCAGCACGGCAGAGCCGTTGTTTGCTTTCTCACAGCTGAGCGGCCCCTGTGCCGCGCTCACCCGCTTTGTAGTCCGCGGTGGGAGAGGCAGCGGGGCGTGCGGTCACGCGGGAGGGATCTGCTGCTTCCTGCAGCGCTGGTTGTGAATTGCAACACCCCAGCGCTGAGCTGCAGGGAGCGGGGGAAGGAGGAGCAGCCCTGCACGGCGAGATCTGCTCGAGGCTTTGCTGTCTGCCCTCATCTGTTTGCAGCCAGGGGAGGTGTTAAGATCAGGAAATTCCACCCGAAAAGAGGTGTAAATGAGCCCTGATTTGCTTTCCTTGTATGCATTCATCCCACTCCTCCCTGCTGCCTGCAGGAATGCTTCTGGCATTCCCCCATCCACCCCCCCTGAGCACAGTGTGCTCCGGGACGCGGCCTTGCTGCTATCGGCCAGGAGAGCTCCCACACCCCGCGCTTTATCTCTTATGAACCTCTTAGGGCCAGCGCAACCTCGCTGCTGCCCTGGGGCTGTGCTCAGCACGCGCTGGTTGCCAGCTGCTGTTCTTGCTTTGCAGGATGGCTGTCCTCCGTGTACAAACAGCAGTGGTTTGCCATGCTGCGAGTGGAACAGGACAGCGACACTGGGTGCGTACACAGCAGGATTTGCTCTGCTTATTTCTCATAAAGACCACACGGTGCGGTGTTGTTTTTTGGGGTGGGGGGCAGCGGTCCCACATGGGCGCCACCTCGTGCCCACCTGGGATCCAGCGCAGCCCCTTGGCTGGAGGAGAAGTGGGGCAGCGCTGGGAGCGGAGCTCCGTCACCAGGCGCTGATCTGTGCCTGTTTCACCCAGCGGCAGCCAGCGGGGCGCTGTGCTGGTCAGGCCCGGCCTGTTGGCTCAGCCCCTTCACCGCGTGGTTCATTGCAACAGTCGGACCCCAAAATCTCTGGAGGCGTCCTTGGAGAGGGGGGCTGGGGGCTGGCAGTGAGCTGCAACCCACACAGGCGACGCTGGGAGCTCCTACGCATCCCAAGGCGTGCTGGTGCACTGTGCTGCTGTTCTGTTTGCTGGCAGGCCCCAAGAGATCAACAAGGAGGAGCTGGAGGGAAGCAGCATGAGGTGCGGGCGGAAGCTCGCGCAGGACGGCGACGTAAGTGTGCTCCAAACACGGGGGGCTGGGGAGGGAGAGCAGCCAGGACGGGGCTGGCTGTGCGCTGTGGCTCTGGGCGCTCCACGGCCGTTCCCTGCAGTACTGCTGGCGTTGGACCGGCTTCAACTTCGGCTTCGACCTCCTCATCACTTACACCAATCGTTACATCATCTTCAAGCGGAACACGCTCAACCAGCCCTGCAGCGGCTCTGTCAGCCTGCAGCCCCGGCGCAGCATCGCCTTCAGGTACCTCCCTGAGCACAGGACTGGGCTGACGAGGCCTTCCCTCCTGTGCTGCAAGGAGCCCCTTTGCGGTGGCAGAACAGGAGGGCGCTGAGCCCCTTCCCTGCCTCGCATCCGTAGGCTGCGCCTCGCCTCCTTCGACAGCAGCGGGAAAATAATCTGCAGCAGGACCACGGGGTATCAGATCCTGAGCCTGGAGAAGGACCAGGTAAGCTGGGGCGCTGTGCCCTGGTGCGGGATGCAGAGCAGCGTGCAGGGGGAAAGCTGGGCTGGGGTGCCGGGGGTCTCATTAACGTGGCTTAACGAGGTCAGAGCTGCGATGCCACTCCATCCCCCTGCACCAGTGGGGTTCCCCTGTGCTTGGGGGCGGAGGTGTTTCTTAAGGACTCTGCTGTTGCAAACTTAACGATGTGAAGGGAATGTCTGCTCGAGGGCGGCCTCCTCTCATGGCTGGGATGTGCGACGCCAACAGGCAGCACAGAGAGCTGGAGCACCTCTGGAACACTTTATGGGGGCCACCAAAGGGAGGCGAGCAGCTCTGGGGGGGGCAGTGCCGCGGTGCTGGGTGCTGGCACTGCTCACAGCTCCGTGTGCCGCCCCAGGAGCAGGTGGTGATGAACCTGGACAGCCGCCTGCTCGTCTTCCCCCTCTACATCTGCTGCAATTTCCTCTACACGTCGCTGGAGAAGAAGGCGGGCGGCACAGCGGCGTCGGAGGGCGCAGATCAGCACTGAGCATCAGCATCGCTGCAACCCGGAGCCCGTCCTGCATTGCTCCACCGCTGCAGGTGCCTGGAGCCACTCCACTGCCCCCCAGCACCGTGCTGGGAGCAGCTCACACATCCACCATGGGGGGGAACCCAGCCTGCTTTCGCTCAGGAACAGTGACCACGGAGTGCCTTTGCGCCGGCCCCTTGGGTGCTGAGGGCTCAGCGCCTTCGTTCCTTTGTTTATTTTTTTTAACGTTGGACTGTTGTTGGCGTTGGGAATTTACAGCCCAGTTTTTTGCATTCCCAGAGGGGACGTCGTCCGTCCTCTCAAAAGCGTCTTTTTGGTTTTTTTTTTTAATATTGTAAAAAAAAAAAAAAAAGCTTTAAAAACAAACAAACAAAAACAACCAAACCAAACCCCCTGCTTGGAGCTGATGATGAGGAGCGTGGGGGGAGGCAGCCCAGAATTGGGGTCAGGAGGAGGAACGCTGCCCGTCGCCCCCCCGCCTTGTGCCGTGGCTTCCATGGCTCAGCACAGCCCAGCAAACGGAGCTCAGTCGGTTCCACGTTTTTATTGGGGGGAGCCGAGGAGTACAACACCACCACCACACTGCCAGGGAAACCGGTACGAAAAGTACAAAAATAAGGAAGCCTCTCTATCTCTCTATCTATCACGGCTAAAAATAAATAGTGTAAACACGAGAGGAGAACAGCAGGCGCAGCTCCGCTGCTCGCAGCCCCACCGTCTTTGGCTTGGATCCGACTCGGGCCGGGGGGGCCGGGCTGAGCTCTGAGCGCCCCCCGGCTCCGTCCGTCCTTCCCTTCATTTGACAGCTGCGACTTCAGCTTCCCTTCTTCATTTCAACCCCGAGAGCGCAGTGCCGACGCAAAGGAGTCCCCTGAGAGCTCCGTCCTCCGTGAGCGCAGCTCTGCCCCACACCGTGCTCGGGGGCTGCATCCCTTCCCCCCATATTTTCCCTTCGGGGACAAGCAAAGCGCCCCCAGCCCGCCCCGCAATGTCGGGTTCTCCAGTCTGACCCCAAGGAAACGTTAAATTAAGGGAAAAAAACGACAAAGAGAAAGGAAGATTCGGTGCCACCGCTAAAGGACACGGCGAGGTGACGCGGGACCGCGACGCCAGGTGATGCAACGGGACCCCCGTCCCCAGTGCTTCCCCACCTGTGCGGGTGATGGGGGAAGGGGGGGGAAAACAGACCTGGGGGTGTCCAGGGAAAGGCCGGCCCTACGGGGCGGGATGCGGCATCAGAAGGCTCTGCATCCTTTGTGCCGTCGGGGGACACGTGAGTGGTTTGGGGTTGAGCGGGACACGGCCTCGGTGTCCCACGAGGAAAGCGAAGGGGGGAGGGCCCCGTGTGTGTGTGTTGTGTATGGGGGGAGGGAGCGGGGAAGGAATCGTCCGTCGGGCGCAGAGCTCTGGGCTCCGAGCTGCCCCTACCGCTGCCCGGCCTCGCGGATCCGGCACGCCACGGCCGTGATCAGCGCCGCTCCTTTGCCGCTGCCGTCCTCTGACTGCAGGAAGGTCACCTCGCAGCACGGGGACAGCTGCCTCACCGTGTCCTGCATGACGGCCGAGAAGCTGCGGGGGGGGGAGGAGGAGGAGGAGGAGGAGGAGGAGGAGGAAGCCATCAGAGCCGTCCTGCGGTGCAGCCGATGCCGTCCCACGCCAACACCCAACGCAATGTGGGAGTGCTGGGAGCCGGGCACGGAACACAGCCTGTGTTCTGCCTGCCAGCCCTGATTCAAGGCCAGCACCCAACCGGAGTCTCAGGGGCCTCCGTGCAGCCCCACCATGGAGCCCTGAGCCCGATGCATGATCCGCTATGGAGCCGTGAGTCCTTTGTATGCTCCACTGCAGAGCTCTGAGTGCAATGCACTACAGAGCCCTCAGCCCTTCGTATGCTTCACCATGGAGCCCTGAGCCTTCTGTATGCCCCGCTGTGGAGCCCTGAGCCCAGCGCATGCTCATCCCTGCACCCTTGGCCTCTGTGTGCGCTCCATGGGAAGGGGCAGAGCTTCACCGCAGACCCTCCTGGTGGGCAGAACCCCCGGCCGAGCTCAACCCACAGCCCACCTCCCTGCTCCTCCGTCCCCTGTGGGCACTCACTGTGGGTGCAGTTTGTAGAGCGTCCCATCCACGCCAACCGTCACCTTGAGGAAATCCAGCCCTCGATTCTCACGGATTTTATCCACCACGGCGGCCATTCCGGCCCCGCAGAGCTGCGCGGCGCGCCGGGCCACCACGGTGCACACCTCCTTAACGATGATGCTGTCGTCACACGTGCTCTCCAGGCCCAGATGCTGGAGGATGGAGCGCACCTGCAGCAGGGCCAGGCAGTCGCTGCGGGGCGGGGGGCACACGGTTAGGAGGTCTCCCCCCAGGTCCGGGTGTCCTGTGGCACCCGTGGAGCCGTGGCTTGCACCAACCGGAGGGACGCCCGGGGTGGATGCACTCCATTCCTCACACCGTATCGCCCTGGCTCTGAGCACCCAGGACCCCCCCAGAACGCAGCAGGATGGCCACAGTCACGTCCTCACCTTTCTATCTGGGACAGGAACTTTGTCTCAAAGATCCCCCTGGTCTTCAGGCGCTCGGAGATGCGGCCGCGGAACAGCAGCCCTCGCTTGGTGAAGTTGATCAGGATGTTGCGGACGATCTCCCCCAGGTACATCCCGCTGATCATCTTCTCAAACCTGGAGTGGGGACGGCAGGGCCGAGCGTTGACACTCGAGGGTGGAGGGGACAGCCCTGCCCAGCCCATGGCACCCAGCACCGTCTCTATGGTCCAGCACCATCGGGGCTCTGCAGGGCAGGGAGCGCTCCTCTCAGCCCCAGCGTTACCACCACGCACCTCTGCTTCCCAGGGTTGAGGGACAGTTCGTCCACAGCCAAATCAAACTCGGTCTGGATGTCATCCAAGCAGCCGTTGTCCCCAAACGCGCCCCACTCCATGTTGACACACATGCGGCCCTCGTCGCCCTCCACCAGCTCCACGTTCCGCATCTCCTCCATGTAGCAGGCGTTGCTGCCCGTTCCTGCGGGGGGGGAGGGTCTCAATGGGGCTCAGGGGGAGGGCGTCCCCCCCGTGGGGCAGGGAAAGGCGCAGCGCTCACCGACTATCAGCCCGACTTCGCAGTAGGGGTCTTCGTAGCCGCAGGTCATCATGGTGCCCACCGTGTCGTTCACCACCGCCACCACGTCCAGGTCGAACTCCTGGAAGGGAAGGGTTGGGTTGGGTGGTTTCCCACATGGAGATGATGGGGGGGATGGGTGGAGGGCAGCACTGCTCGGCTCCTAGCTCCAGGCTCTGGCAATCCACCCCCTGTGATGACTGAGGGCGGTGGCTGACATCCCAACGCTCAGCCCATTCGTTCCCAGCCCAATTAACGCCGCTGCAGAGCTGCCCCGCTCACCTCCCTGCGGTGGATGGCCTCCTTCAGCAGGCTCACCACGTCCTCCCCTTCGCAGCCCGTGGCTTTGAAACCCTTTGTCCACTTTAGGAGAATCCCCTGGAAGGAGAAAAGAGGGTCGGGGTGAGCGGGTTGGGCCAGGAGCGCCCCCCAGCCCCCAAATCTCAGGGACACACTCAGGATCCTGCCAGTGCCGGGCTCACCTCGTCCAGGTTGGTCTGCCTGCATGGGAAGGAGAAGGTGAAGCCCAGCGGGAGCGACACTCCCTTCATCCCCATGTACTCCAGGAAGTCGGAGATGCAGTGCACAATGTGGTCGAAGAGCTGGACGTGCAGAGTGAGGGCAGGAGGGCGCAGTCACCGCGTGTGCCGTGCACTGCAGGCTCCTCCACGTCCCCGCGGGCAGCGCTCCCACCCGTGGGATGCCGTCCTCCCTTTGTGGGGCGCCCCGGAGCCCCCTGACCCCAATCCCAGCAACGCCCCAAAGCCATCAGCGATGCTCAGAGCGCAACCTGTGCCGTTTCCCTGGTGGGGAAGTGATGCTCATCTGCCCTCGTCGGGTGTGTGGGGTGGGACGGCGGGTGGACTCACCTCCTCGCCTGTCCCCTGCATCACCTCCAGCGGGATGGAGTAGATCTTGTTGTGCATCTCCACGCCGCGCCGCATGCCGTTCCGCACCCGCACCAGCAGCACGCGGAAGTTCGTCCCCCCCAGATCCAGGGCGAGGAAATCTCCTTTTTCTAAAAGCCGGGAGAGGGTCGTGAGGAGAGAGAGCTCAACAGGGAGCACCGTAAGCACGGAGGGGAGAAACCACGGCGGAGAAGGTGGAGGTGCCATTTCCCAGCCAAGGGCGCTGCGTTGGGTGCGGGATCTTCTGGGGGCTCAGCATCGGACCCCAGAGCTGCTCCCCACCGAGGGGAACAACGGCGCCTCCGTGGCACAGACACTGGGAGCTCTGTGCCATACGCAGGACATGAAGGCGCCCTCACCTGTCCCGTCTGGAGTTGAGCACACGTATGTGGGCAGCATCTTCACTGTGGCCTCCGCGTGCGTATCCTTGCCCAGCCCCTTCTCCATCTCAACCCTCATCCTCCGCTTCACCTCCAGGAGCTGCTCGTGGCTCAGCTTCAGCGCCTCCAGGATCTTCTGCCGGGCCTTGTGCTGGGCTGCCAGCCTGTAGGCCACCGCCGTCACCATGGCCGCCCCTTTGCCGCTGCCGTCTTCCGACCTCACAAATCGGATCTCGCAGTCAGGCAGCAGCTTCCTCACTGTCTTATGGAGGCGTCGGGCAAAGCTATGGGAGAGGAGGAGGAGGAGGAAGAAGGCGGCTTGAGCGTGCCTTCAAAGGTCGCGTCAGACTCTGAGATGGCCCACGTGGGCTTTGGGATCCAGTGGAGGTGCCCACGGACCACCACAAGGCCAGATGAGATGGACAACAAATGGGATCCAGTGGAGGTGCCCACGGGACCCAGCACGAGGTCAGACCTCCTCTGTGATGGCCAACAAATGGGATCCAATGGAGACGGGATCCAATGACGGGATCCAACAGAGATGCCAACAGGGCATCATCGTGAGGCCAGACTTCCTCCGAGATGGCCAACAAGTGGCATCCAATGGAGGCGCCCGTGGGCCCCCACCCTGAGGCCAGACCTCCTCCAGCTCCCCGTTGCCTCGAGGACTTACTGAGGGTGCTTCTTGTAGACAGAGCCATCCACACCGACGGTGGAGCGCAGCCGGTCCACCCCCTTGTTCTCCTTGATGCGGCGCAGCACGGCGGCCAGCGTGGCCCCGCAGAGGTTGGCCGAGCGGGTGGAAACGATCTGGCAGATGCGGTGGGTGGCCAGGCAGTCCTCGTGGGACGGCTCCAGGCCCAGTTTGGTGAGGATCTCGTGGGCTTTCTGCAGCCCCTCTTTCTCCCTGCACACCGAAGAACAGAAGACGTCTGTGCCTGGAAATCCGCTGTGGGCCCAGCACTTCCCCCAGCTACTGGGTGGTGGGTTGGGACCCCACAAAGACACCCAGCCCCCGCTCACTTCTCGATAGCAGAGACAAATCTGGTCTCAAAGTGTCCAGTGGTGCGCAGATCCGAAGAGAGCTTTCCTCGGAAGAGGAGCCCCTCCTTGGCCATCTTCACCAGGATGAGGCGCACCAGCTCGCCCATGTACATCCCACTGATCATCTTCTCGAACCTCACAAACACAAGAGGTGCACAGTCGGACCCCCACCTTTAACCCCAACCGCGCCGCCCGTCTGCCAAATGGGAATTCTGTAGGACCGGGCTGCGGACATTAGGTGGTGGTGTTCCCTTTCATTGCTGATGGATTTGTTGGCAGGGGAAACGCGGATCGACAGCCCCGAGCGGAGGGCTGGCAAGGGAAGCGGGCGTTGGGTGGACGTGCCAGCCCGAATCCCACGCGGTCCCCGTTGGCGGGACGGAGGACACTGTGACCCAGTTAACTGGGACAACCCCTCCGGTCCCAACAATGGGAGGATGGGCAACGTGGCGCAGAGCAGAGCCAGGAATCTGCTTACAGCTGCTTGCCAGGGTTGAGCGAGCCCATGTCTATCTCATGGTCGAACTCGGTCCTGATGTCATTGAGCACGCCGTCGTCCCCGAAGGCACCCCACTCCATGTTGATGCACATCCGGCCCTCGTCCCCCTCCACCAGGTCGATGTGCCTCATCTCCTCCATGTAGCAGGCGTTGGTGCCCGTCCCTGCGCCGAGCACGGAGACCCGCTCGCATCGGAGGCCGCATCTCCCCCGTCCTCCCCAGTTACACCACGCAACCACCAGAATCCCTGTGCTCAGCCCCAGTTACACCACACAACCACCAGAATCCCTGTGCTCAGCCCCAGTTACACCACACAACCACCAGAATCCCTGTGCTCAGTCCCGCTCACCCACGATGAGTCCGACTTCACAGTTTTGGTCATCATAGCCACAGGACATCATGGTGCCAACAGTGTCATTTACCACCGCCACGATGTCGATGTCGAAGTCCTAAAATGGGGAAGGGGGCACTGAGTGCCACCAAAGAGCAGCGCAGCGTCTCCGCTTGCAGGGTGACGACGCGCGTTGCGTCCCGTGTGTCCCATCCTGGGATTTTGGGAGCTGGGACACCTTACCCCACGCTTCTTGATGGCCTTGCGCAGCAGGGACACCACGTCCTTCCCCTCCACGCTGCTGCACTTGAATCCCTTTGTCCAGTTGACAAGGATGCTCTGTGTTGGGAGAAGAGAGAGAAGGGGACGCTCAGCCGGACCCCACGCCACCACGTATCCAAAACTGCGCCTCAAGGTCAGAACCATCAACCCGCTGCTCAAAGTCAGGGCCACCAACACACAACTCAAGAACAGAACTTCCCCATCCATGTCTCAGGGTCAGAGCCACAAACCCACAACTCAAAATTAGAGCCAACCCACCTGCTCAAAGTCAGAGCCACCAACCCACAACTCAAAGTCAGTGCCACCAACCCCCAACTCAAAGTCAGAGCCACCAACCCACAACTCAAAGTCAGGGCCACCAACCCCCAACTCAAAGTCAGAGCCACCAACCCACAACTCAAGGTCAGTGCCACCAACCCCCAACTCAAAGTCAGAGCCACCAACCCCCAACTCAAAGTCAGAGCCACCAACCCACAACTCAAAGTCAGGGCCACCAACCCACAACTCAAGCTCAGACCCTCCAACACACAACTCAAGAACAGAACTCCCCCATCCATGTCTCAGGGTCAGACCTACCAACCCGCAACTCAAGGTCAGAACCCAATCCATGTCTCAAGGTCAGAGCCACCAACCCACAACTCAAAGTCAGGGCCACCAACCCACAACTCAAAATTGGAGCCAACCCACAGCTGAAAGTCAGGCCCTCCAACCCACGGCTCAAGCTCACTACAACCCAACCCACGTCCCAAGGTCAGAGCCGCCCAGCCTCCTCCAGCACAGGGACGGACACGGCTCTGCAGGCAGCCCCTCCCTCTTATCACTGCCATCGGCATCTGCAGCGGTTCCCACGTCCCAGTTTATGGCCACAGGCACGTGAGTCATCGGCTCCCTGCCGCCGGCAGAGGGACGTGACCTCAGCTCTTGGCTTCATGGAGCCCTGCAGCAAAACCGGCTCTGATGCATGCGGAGGGCGCCGGTGGGACGGGGTCTCACCCGTCACCGCAGTCATAGGAACACGACTTCCGGCACCTCGGAATGGAGCTGCAGACGTGCCGAGCCGCTGCCGTGCCGTGGAGCTGCCCACCAGCCGACCCCACGTGGGGCAGCCCTGGGAAGCAGGAGGCGGCGGTGTGCGATGTGCCCAGCGAGGTCGCTGGTGCCGATGTGGTGCTCGGCACGTCCCCGGGGCTGCCGGGCTGCAGGCAGCTGCTGCCCCATGCCTTCATCCAGCAGCAGCAGCTGCTCGCCGAGAGCACAATGAGGGAGAGGCACAGAGAGCTCTGTGTCCCATGGGAGCCACGGGGATCGCCGAGGTGGCCGCAAAGGGTCATTCACATGGCTGCGGGGCCACGTGGGGCTTTAGGGCCACGAGATGACTGTAAGGCCATGAGGGCGATGTAGGGCTGTAGGGTGGTGAGGGGCTGTAGAGCCACGAGGAGCTGTAGGGTCATGTAGGGCTGTAGGGCCACATGGGGCTGTAGGGTTATGAGGGGCTGTAGGGCCAAGAGGTGACTGTAGGCCTTCCCTCGGCCTCTTCTCTGCGCTGAACCCAAGGGACTTCCACTTCTCCCTACACACGTTGCCCTCACTCCCCTTCTCCATCCTCCTGGCCCGCCTTTGGATACCGTTAGATGCTTTTAGGTCCTTCTTCCGGTGCTCCAACGGCCCCCAGTGCTCCAGGTGTGACCCCACCGGGGCACAGCCACCCAATCCTGCACAGAACGTCACCCCTCGGCCCCCCACATCCCTCACCCACCTCATCCAGCTTGGTCTGGTGACACGGGAAGGAGAAGGTGAAGCCGAGGGGCAGCTTCTTCTCCTTGATGTTCAGCTTCTCCATGAAGTTGGCCAGGCACTCAGCGATGTGGTCAAAGAGCTGAAAGGCAACGGCTGAGGATGAGCAACGGTGACGTCTTGGTGTCTCGACAGACATCCCAGCACCTCAGAGAACATCCCAGCATCTCAAGGGACATCTTGGCATCTCGAAGGACGTCGCGGCGTTGTCTGGACTACTGCCCCCCTGTGGGTGGATCCTTTTGGGGAGGAAAACGGAGACGGGGGGAGGCCCACCTGCATCCCGCTGCCTCGCATGAGGTCCTCGTGGATCTCATAGATCTGGCTCTCCATCTCCACCTTCTGCAGGCCGTTGTCGGACACCTTCACCCGCAGCACGCGGAAGTTGGTGCCACCGAGGTCCAGCGCCAAGAAGTCTCCGTCCTCTGGGAAGAGAAAGCCAGGGGTGAACCCAAACTCAAACCACAGGGGTGAGCCCCAAAACCACGGGGATTAACCCCAAAATTCTACAGGAGCAAACCCCGAAACTCCACAGGAGTGAATCCCAAAACTCTACAGGGCTGAGCCCCAAAAGCACAGGAGTTAGCCCCAAAACTCTACAGCAGTCAGCCTCAAAATGATGGGGATTGGCCCCAAAACTCCACAGGGGTGAATCCCAAAACTCTACAAGAGTTAGCCCCAGAACCATATGGGGATGAGCCCCAAAACCACGGGGCTGAACGCCCAAATTCTACAGGAGTTAGCCCTAAAACCACAGGATTGAATCCCAGAAATCCACAGAGGTGAACCCCAAAACCACAGGGGCTGGCACAAAGGTTAGCCCCAAACCCACACGGATTAACCCCAAAACTCAACTGCAGCGAACCCCAAAACTCCATAGGGGTTAGCCCCAAAACCATGAAATCAAACCCCAAAACTACGCGTGTTAGCCCCAAACTCGACCGGGCTGAACCCCCAAACCCCACAGAGGTCACCCCAAAAACCACGGGGTGACCCCGCAGCGCTGCAGGTCCTGTAAGGTCACAGCACCAGAGCCATTCCCGTAGGCTGACGCAAGAATCCCAAGAGAGCTCTGCCAGCCCTTCCCCACGCTCTGCCCTTCCAAAGCGTCGCCCAGCGGAGGAGATGCTTTCGGAGGAAATCCGAGCTGCTCTGGGAACGCAGCCCAGCAACCCGCAGAGCTGCTGGCACGTGGCTGCAGGCCGGCCCCGAACCTCCGCGTGCATTTCGGCCCAGCAGGACGGGGGACAAGAGCGAGAGCTGCGGGTGGCGGAAGGTGGGGACAGAAAGCAGCGTTCGGTGGCACAGCGGTGTCTGAAGGGGGGATTGGGTGGGGGGTGTGTGGGGACACGTGGTGACCTCATGGAGCGTGCGTGACATCAGCGTGTGCGGGGACATGGGGACACGGATGGTGACTTCATGGGGCCTCCGTGACACTGGCGAGCATGGGGACATGGAGACATGGATGGTGACGTCATGGAGCCTCCGTGATGTCACTGTGCACAGGGACACAGGTGGTGGCTTCACGGAGCATTTGTGACATCCGTGTGTGCGGGGACACGGGGACACAGATGGTGACATCATGGAGCCTTCGTGACATTGGTGGGTGCAGACATGGGGACACAGATGGTGACATCATGGAGCCTTCGTGATGTCATTGTGCGCAGGGACATGGATGGTGGCTCCATGGAACCTCTGTGACATCGGAGTGCGTGGGGACGTGGGGACAAGGATGGGGACACAGGGACAGATGGTGGCTTCATGGAGTCTTTGTGACATCGATGTGCGTGGAGACACAGGGACACGGACACTGCGGTGGTGGCTTCACAGAGCCTCCAAGATGTCGGGGTGTGCAGAAGTGGGGACACAGATGGTGACTTCATGGAGCCTTCGTGACATTGGTGAGCATGGGGACATAAATGGTGACTTCATGGAGCCTTCGTGACATTGGTGAGCATGGGGACATGGACAGTGGCTCCACAGAGCCTTCATGATGTCTGTGTGTGCATGGAGATGTGGTGGCTTCACGTAGCCTTCATGACATCAAGGTTTGCAGGGACACGGGGACATGGATGGTGACGTCATGGAGCCTTCGTGACGTTGGTGGGCGCAGACAAGGGGACACAGACGGTGACATCATGGAGCCTTCGTGATGTCACTGTGCGCGGGGACATGGATGGTGGCTCCACGGAACCTCTGTGATGTCACTGTGCACGGGGACGTAGATGGTGGCTTCATGGAGCACTTGTGACATCAGTGTGTGCGGGGACATGGGGACATGGATGGTGACTTCATGGAGTCTTCATGACATCAGGGCTTGCAGGGACACGGGGACATGGATGGTGACATCATGGAGCCTTCGTGATGTCACTGTGCGTGGGGACATGGATGGTGGCTCCACAGAACCTCTGTGACATCGGAGTGCGTGGGGACGTGGGGACACAGACGGTGGCTTCATGGAGCCTTTGTGACACTGGTGTGCATGGAGACACGGACACTGCAGTGGCGGCTGCACGGCGCCTTGACGACGCTGGTGTTTGCGGTGGGGACGTGGATGGTGACTTCGTGGAGCCTTCGTGACACCAGTTTGCACAGAGACACGGCTGGTGACATCACGGAGCCTTGAGGACATCGCTGTGTGCAGGGACGTGGGGACAAGGACGGCGCCCGGGGCACGGAGCCAGGAAAGCAGATCCCAGCAGCCAAGGAACCTCGCCGTGCGCAGGTCGGAGCCGCACAGCTCCGGTTTCCACCCCACACCCCCGGAGGTTGGGGCTCCGGGCGCTGCCTCGCGCCGCGATAAGACGCAAGCAAACAGGAAAGCAAACAGCGCGGCTCACCGCCGGGGGCTGTTTGCTCTCTGCAAAGGGCCCAAAGATAAGCACTGCTTCCCTGCCCCTGCAGCAGAGCTGAGGAAAGCAGCGCCGAGGCGCACAGACAGCAGAGCTCGGCTCCTCTGGTGCGGAGCCGTGCCTCATCGGCATCTCAGGCCCACACCCTGCATCTCGTGTCCTTGCCCTTCATCTCGTGTCCTTGCCCTTCATCTCGTGTCCTTGCCCTTCATCTTGTGTCCTTGCCCCACATCTCGTGTCCTTGCCCTTCATCTCGTGTCCTTGCCCTTCATCTCGTGTCCTTGCCCTTCATCTCGTGTCCTTGCCCCACATCTCGTGTCCTTGCCCTTCATCTCGTGTCCTTGCCCTTCATCTCGTGTCCTTGCCCCACATCTCGTGTCCTTGCCCCACATCTCGTGTCCTTGCCCTTCATCTCGTGTCCTTGCCCTTCATCTCGTGTCCTTGCCCTTCATCTCGTGTCCTTGCCCCACATCTCGTGTCCTTGCCCTTCATCTCGTGTCCTTGCCCTTCATCTCGTGTCCTTGCCCTTCATCTCGTGTCCTTGCCCCACATCTCGTGTCCTTGCCCCACATCTCGTGTCCTTGCCCCTCATCTCATGTCCTTGCCCTTCATCTCGTGTCCTTGCCCTTCATCTCGTGTCCTTGCCCCACATCTCGTGTCCTTGCCCCTCATCTCATGTCCTTGCCCTTCATCTCGTGTCCTTGCCCTTCATCTCGTGTCCTTGCCCCACATCTCGTGTCCTTGCCCTTCATCTCGTGTCCTTGCCCTGCATCTTGTGTCCTCCCCCTACATCTCAGCCTGACCCTCTGCTGCGTAAGCCCTCTCATCCAGCATAATCCAGGAGGTGACGCCGACCCTGGAGGTCTGAGCCCTGCAGAGCACCCTGTCCTGGCCGGGAGGAGAGGCAGCGCGGCAGCGATGCTTTGGGATCGCTGTGTTGGGGTTGCTCCAAATGATGGCTCGGCAGCTGCTGGGAAGGATGGCTGTGCTGGGCCAAGCGTCCTCATGCAGAGTGCGGCCGGACGCACGGCTGTGAGTGGGGCAGGAACACCGCGGGTGGGGGTGGGTGAGTTTACCACGGCAGGGCTGGACCTACACCATCTTTAAGGACCCGTCCAACCCAACCACCCGATGGTTGTGTGAGCTTTAAGGACCCTTCTGACCCAAACCATCCCATGGGTCTGTGACTTTGAAGTCCCTTTGAACTCCTCCATTCAGTGGTTCGATGCTCTTTAAAGGACCCTTCCAACCCAACACTCGATGGCTCTGTGACCTTTAAGGACCCTTTCAACCCAAAACTCGCTGGCTCTGTGATCTTTAAGGACCCTTCCAACCCAACTCTCGATGGCTCTGTGACCTTTAAGGACCCTTCCAACCCAACTCTCGATGGCTCTGTGATCTTTAAGGACCCTTCCAACCCAACTCTCGATGGCTCTCTGACCTTTAAGGACCCTTTCAACCCAAAACTCGATGGCTCTGTGATCTTTAAGGACCCTTCCAACCCAACACTCGATGGCTCTGTGATCTTTAAGGACCCTTCCAACCCAACTCTCGATGGCTCTCTGACCTTTAAGGACCCTTCCAACCCAACACTCGATGGCTCTGTGATCTTTAAGGACCCTTCCAACCCAACTCTCGATGGCTCTGTGATCTTTAAGGACCCTTCCAACCCAACACTCGATGGCTCTGTGATCTTTAAGGACCCTTCCAACCCAACACTCGATGGCTCTGTGATCTTTAAGGACCCTTCCAACCCAACGCTCGATGGCTGTGATCTTTAAGGACCCTTCCAACCCAACACTCGATGGCTCTGTGATCTTTAAGGACCCTTCCAACCCAACTCTCGATGGCTCTGTGACCTTTAAGGACCCTTCCAACCCAACACTCGATGGCTCTGTGACCTTTAAGGACCCTTCCAACCCATCCATTCCACGGCTCTAAGCTCTTCAAGGACCCTTTCAACCCAATCATCCCACGGCTCTGTGATCTTTCAGGACCCTTCCAACCCATCCATTCTACAGTTCTACAACTCCCTGATTTCCCAGCTCCCAGCGTTCTTCGCTTTTCCCCCATCAGGTTTCAGAGGACCCCACAGGAGGCTTCTGGGAGCGTCTGCACCCAACGACCGCACCAGGAAGTCGTTCGGCGTCGGATGCACTGATGGGAGCCCAAAGTGGAGCCGTGCCCCCCCGGCCAAGAGGCGCCGGTCCCTCGGGGAGGATGAGAGGCGTGTGGGAAGGGAGCAGAAAGGCGGCGTTGTCAGCTGCCTCCTCTCGCGCTCCCCATGGCGTTCAGCGCTAATGAGAAGCGACGATCCGACCCGTGACCACCGCATCCCGCCAGCACGGCGCACAGGAGGGCCGCCCGCAGCCCACGGCCACCAGGAGCCCCTCGGTCTGAGGGAGACCCCCACCCCGGCTGCACCCAGCCCAGAGGGGCGCGAGCTGCCCCACGGCGCCGTACCTGTGCCGTCTGGGGTGGACCTGACGAAGGAGGGCAGCATCTTGACGGAGGCGGTGGGGTTGGTGTCAGCACCCAGCCCCTTCTCCATCTCCTTGCGGAAGCGTTCGGACACCTCCTGCAGCGTGTCCTCGGAGAGCCGCATGTGGTACAGGTACTTGTCCACCTGTGGGGCACGGAGGGGCAGCGGGTGAGCAGTGGGGCTGGGGGACGCGGGGACGACGCAGCCGCAGCTGGAGGGTGGCAGCGGGTGGCCCACAGCAGGGGTGAGCGTGGAGAACCGCTGCCAACACCCGGAGCCGCTCTGCAACTCAACCCCAAGGTGGCCCAAGAGGAATCCAGCCCCACAGAGGCCAAAGAGGCGTCCAGCCCCACAGTGGCCAAAGAGGCGTCCAGCCCCACGGTGGCCAAAGAGGCGTCCAGCCCCACGGTGGCCAAAGAGGCGTCCAGCCCCACGGTGGCCAAAGAGGCGTCCAGCCCCACAGTGGCCAAAGAGGCGTCCAGCCCCACAGAGGCCAAAGAGGCGTCCAGCCCCACAGCAGCTCAACACAAGTCTGACTCTACAGGCAGCCCAAGAGAAGCTCAGCCCTACAGGTGGCCCAAGAGAAGCCCAAATCGAAGGCAGCCCAAGAGAAACCCAGCCCTACAGGTGGCCGAAATGAAGCTCAACCCTACAGATGGTCCAAAAGATGCTCAACCCTGCAGGTGGCCCAAAAGAAGCCCAAACGTGGGGTGGCCAAAGAGGCGTCCAGCCCCGCAGTGGCTCAAGACAAGTCCGACTCCACAGGCGGCCCAAGGGAAGCTCAGCCCTACAAGTGGCCCCAAAGAATGAATTCTACAGGCGGCCCAAGGGAAGCCCAGCCCTACAGGCAGCCTAAGAGAATCCCAGTCCCACAGGTGGCCCCAGAACCCCCACCTGCAGGCAGCCAAACACGCTGGCACAGCCCAGCTCAACCTCCGCCACCCCAAACTGGGGTTGGATCCCCGGCCGTGGGGCTGGGAGCGACGCCTCTGTCGGCGGGACGCAGCGCCCTGCAGGGGATGCCGGTGGCGAGGATTCGGCGCTGGGCCCCGCAGGGATGGCGGCCGCGTGCAGCATCAGAGCAACTCGGAACGGAGCGCCTCGTCCCTGAGCCGGCTGCCAGCTCCCATCCGAGCGCGGCAGGGACGGACGGACGGCGGGAGGCGTGCAGACAGACGGACGGCCAGGCCGAGCCCCGGCCCCATGACCCTTCCCTACCCGCTAATTAAAGGGCAGCGGCCAACTCAGAAGGAAACCCCACCCACGGGGCTCAGCTCACCTGTCTGCACGCACGTACGGCTCCGTCCCCCCTGCGCCCCCCGCGGCGTCACCAGGCGCGGGGTCACCTTCCCTTAATCCCCAAAGCCCTTTTAAACCCGGGATCATCTTCTCCTCCAAACTCAGCGCCCATCCCACCCGGCTCAGCCGGGTCAGGGCACCCAGCACCCACTTCCCACCCCTCCCCCCCCGGCCTTTTCCCCTCCCCCTCCCCATAGGAAGGGCGCCGCTTTTGGTTCCGTTTTTTGTCTTCTCTCCGCAGCAGCGCTGCCACCCCTCCCATCTCCAATCACCCCCCCGGGGCCCCACAGTTGCAGAAGGAGCCGAGGCTGCGCTTTTCGGGGCGGATTCTTTCACTTTTTGGCGTGGATTCTTTCGCTTTTTGGCACCGGGGGAAGACAAACAGCTCTTATGCATGAAAACCGCATCCGGGCCCGAAAGGCTTTAACCCCGAGCTGCACAGAACCCAAAGCACCGAGCGTGGGAACCTCCCCCCCCCCCCAGACCCCCTCCCAGCTCTTACCCAACCCCTCACCCCATAAAACCCCGCAGCTTTGGGGAGCGCTGACCCCATTCTCCCATCCCGGAAGGTGACGAAGGCCACGCCGCCGCCGTGACCCCGCAGCCCCACATCCTCACCACCCCACGTGTGCACGCTGTGACCCCACAGCGCAGCCGAGCCCCCGTGACGCAGCCCGGAGTCACTTCCAGCCAGGCTGAGTCACCGCGTTCCTGCTCGGCCGGTTCCTCCTCCCCAGCCCTGCACCCAATTTCTCGGCCCCATCCATCCGTCCTCAGCCTCATCCATCCAACCCATCCCTGCCTGGCCCCACTGACCCTTCCTCAGCCCCGCTCCCCATTCCTCAGCTCCATCCATCCGCCCATCCTTCCTTGGCTCCGCTCATCCTTCCTCGGCCCCACTCACCCCTGCCCAGCCCCACTCACCCATCCTCAGCTCCACTCACCCGTCCATCCTTCCTTCGGCCCCATTCACCCCTCTTCAGCCCCACTCGTCATTTCTCAGCCCCACTTCCTCTTCAGCCCCATACGTTCATCCCCAGCCTCACTCACCCTACCTTGGCCCCATCCATCCATCCTCAGCCCCATCCATCCACCCATCCCTGCTTGGCCCCACTGATCCTTCCTCAGCCCCATCCATCCATCCCCAGCCCCATCCATCCTTCCTCAGCCCCACTCACTCATCCTCGGCCCCACTCACCCATCCTTCCTCAGCCCCATCCATCCATCCATCCATCCATCCATCCATCCATCCATCCATCCATCCTTCCTTCCTTCCTTCCTTCCTTCCTTCCTTCCTTCCTTCCTTCCTTCCTTCCTTCCTTCCTTCAGCCCCATTCACCCCTCTTCAGCCCCACTCCCCCATCCCCAGCCCCATCCATCCCTTATCAGCCCCATTCACCCTTTATCAGCCCCGCTCACCCACCCCCAGCCCTGCCCACCCTTCCTTGCCCCCCATCCTCATCATCCTCAGGAGATGCTCTTTAAATCTGCCCCCAAAATCCCTCAAGGCGATGGAAGGAGGAATCTGTGTCTGTCTGTCTGTCTGTCTGTCTGTCTGTCCCACTGCTGGGATGAGGAGGGGCCGTTCCCAGGACCCCGCAGTCACACAGCCCCTATTGGGGGTGGGGGGGGGGGAAGAATGAAGACAAGTCCGGGAGAAGGAGAAGGAAAGCTGACAGCCCCAGTGTTTGTGCTGGGAGTCATGAACTTGCCGCTGGCTGTCAGCCACCCCGCTGTCACCTCAGCTGAGTCACCCCACTGTCACTTCACCCCGCTGTCAGCCACCCCACTGCCATCCCATTGCTTCCCCGCTGCCCCCAGGACCCGACGAACCCCCCAGGAGCTCAATGAGGGGCACGTGGGGCCGCCCCCCCCCTCCCGTGCAGGTTGTGGGTTTTGGGTTCTGTCCCACCTTTGGGGCATTTCGGGATCCGCGCCCCCCCCCCCAAATTCGGTCTGAAAACGCGACCCAACGGAACGGAACCAACCCGCAAAGCCCGCATTTCCCGCCCCATCGGATCCCCCATAGCGCAGCTCTGCCGTGCGGCGCCGACCCCCCCAGCCCCAAACACCGACCCCCCCCCCCCCAAAACACCGCTTCCATCCCCGCACCCCCCCGGCACTCCGCCGCCCCGTAACCGGACGGAGCCGCACCGCAACGGCAGCGCCTCCGGACCCCCCCTTCTCTTCCCCCCCCCCTCCCGGCGTTACACAACCCTCTCCACGTGCCCCCCCCGCCCCCCCCCCCCCATCGGAGCTCCTCGGGCACTTTCGGCACTTCTTTTTTTCCTTCCCTCCCCCCCGCGCCTTTTCTTCACTTCCTACCGAACTCGGCCAGCGTGGCGCTCCGCTCTCCTCTCCATCTTCGCCCCCCCCCCCCCCCGCGCCCCCCCATAGGACCCCACAGGAGCCCATAGGACCCCCATCCCCCCCCCCTCCCGCCCCCCGCCCCGCATCCACCACGCGATGCTCCGTCCGAACAAAGAAGCCGCGCTCAGCCCAGGCGCCGCTCCGTTCCCCGAATCGCACAGCGTTTCGCCCCCCCGCATCCCTCAGGACCCCCCCGGCCCGGCCCGGTCCCCCCCCGCCGCGGGGCCACGCAGGGACACGCGGGGCACGTCCCGCACGGCGGCAGCGCTCAGCCCGCCCACGGCCACGCGGGGACAGCGCCGGCGCCGCCGCTCTTTTTTCCGCCTTTCTTCCTCTTTTCTTCCATTTCTTCCTCTTTTCCCTCCGTTTTTATCGCCCCCTCCCCCCCGTTTTTACTTTCGTTTTCTTTTTTCCTATTTTCTTCTCCTTTTTTTGCCCCTTCCCCCCCTTTTTTTTCCTTGTTTCATTTTTTCTCCTTCCTCTTTTTCCTCCTTTCCTTTCCCCCTTTTTTTCCCCTCTCCCTTTTTTCCCCTTTTCCTTTTCTCCCCCGATTTCGTTTTCGCTTTTTTCCTTTCCCCTTTTCCCCTTCCCTCGTTTCCCCTTCCCACTTTTCCCCTTCCCACCTTTCCATTTTTCCCCACTTCCCTCCTTTCTCTCCCCCTTCCTCCCTCTTTCCCCTCCCTTCTTTTCACCCTTCCATCCTTCCCCTCTTCCGACACCCCCTCCCCTTTTCACCTCTCCATTCCTCCCCCCGCTTTGCCCCCCACTTCCAACTCCCCGCTCCCCCCGCCCACCTTCTGCGCCTGGTCGTGGTTGAGTTCCGTGAAGAAGTACGCGAGCAGATGGGACGCGATCATGTCGGCGGTGCGGTGCGGTGCGGAGCGGTGCGGTGCGGTGCGCCGATCCCGCCCGTCGCGCTGAGCCTCATTGAGGAGTTTCCCGGCCCCCCCCCCGCCCCCCGCCCCGTGACGCCGCGCCGCAGCCGCTCCTCCATTGGACGAACAGAGAGGGTGTGGGACCCCCCCGAGGGACGGGGCGCCGCTAGGGGGCGCTGTAAGAGCGTGGGGAGGGGGGGGGAGTGGGGTTGGGGGGCGTAGGGGGGGCTTAGCTATGGGGTGGGGGTGTTTATGGGGTGGGGGAGTTGCTGGGGGGGGGGGTGTATGGGGTGCGGGTGTGTGTAGGGGGCCCGTCTATGGGGTGGGGGTGCGTGTTTGGGGGGTGTGTATGGGGTGCGGTGGGGGTGTGCGCAGGGAGGACCGGCTGTGGGGTGGGGGCGGGTGTGGGGTGGGGGTGTGTGTGTGTGTATGGGGTGGGGGGGTGTGGGATGGGTGGGGGGGGTGCGGGGGTGAAGAGGGCTATCTATGGGGTGGGGGTGTGTGTGGGGTGGGGGAGTGGGGGGTGTGTATGGGATGGGGTGGTGTGTATGGGGGTTTGTATGGGGTGGGGGTGGTTGTGTGGAGGGTGTGTATGGAGGGGGGTGGGGGTGTGTGTAGGGGGGCTCTGTATGGGGTGGGGGGGTGTATGGGGGGGTTGTGGGGTTGGGAGATGTATGTGGGGGTGTATATGTGGAGGGGGGTTGGGGTGTGTGTGTATGGGATGGGGGTGTGTGTAGGGGGGCTATCTGTGGGGTGGGGGGTGCATAGGGGGGCTCTATGTGTTAGGGGTGAACATGGGGTGTGGGGTTGGGGGGTGTGTATGGGGTGGGGGGGCTGTATGGGATGGGAGTGTGTGCAGGAGGGCTATCTGTGGGGTGGGGGTTTATATGGGGTGGGGGGCTGGTGGGGGTGTGTGTGTGGGGGGGTGTATGGGGTGGGAGTGTGGGGTTGGGGGGGGTGTATGGGCATGGGGGGGTGTAGGGGGCCTGTCTATGGGGTGGGGGGGTATGGGATAGGTGGGGTGGGGGTGTGTGTATGTGTGTAGAGGGTGGGGGTGTGTGAAGGGGGCCTGTCTATGGGGTGGGGGTGTATATGGGGTGGGGGAGTGGGGGTGTGTGTGTGTATGGGATGGGGGGGGTGTATGGGGGTATGTATCGGGTGGGGGTGTGGGGTTGGGGGGCTGTGGGATGGGTGGGGTGGGGGTGTGTGTATAGGGGGTATGTATGGGGTGGGGGGAGTATAGGACGGGGGGTGAGTATGGGGTGGGGGTGTGTGTAGGGGGACTATCTGTGGGGTGGGGGTGAATATAGGGTGGGGGATTGGGGGTGTGTGTATGGGGTGGGGGGTGTGGGAAGGGTGTCTATGGGGTGGGGGTTGGGGGTGTGTGGGCTTGTGGGATGGGGGGGTGTGTAGGGGATGTGTGTATGGGGTGGGGGCGTATTGGGGGGTGGGGGTTTATGGGGTGGGAGCGTATGGGACGTGGGGGGGTGTATATGGGGTAGGGATGTATGGGGTGGGTGTTGGGGGGAGAGGATACATGTGGTGGAGGTGTATGTGGGGTGGGTGTGCATAGGGGGTGGGGGGTGCATAGGGGGGGATGTATGGGGTGGGGGGCGTATATGGGACAAAGACGCGTCTATGGGGTGGGCACAGACGGGGTGAGCTTCTATGGGGTGAGCGCTTTGGGACGGGAGAAGATGCACGGGGTGGGGGGGAAGGGACGTCTATGGGGTGGGATGAGTAGGATGGGACGGAAGGGGGGGGCAGGGGGGGCACGTGTCCGCGCACGGCGCCCCACATCGCCCGCCCCACGGCCCCGTGCGCCGTCACATGGCCCGCAATGTGCAGCGCTGCGTGCTCAGCCGCCCGTGTGCACCCGTCAGACCCCATCAGCCGTCACCCCACAGCGCAGCTCCGAGCTCTGGGGAGCCCCGGATCCCAATCCCCCTCCCCTCCCACCCCACTGCTGCCCCATAAGCGGGCGCCTGAGGCGGCGGTGGGATTTGGGGGCTGTCTGCGACCCCGTGGCCCCGTTGGGGTCGTCCTTTGGGCTCGGGGTCCCCGCTGCTTTTTGGGGTGAAGGATGATGTGGGGTGGATGAATGGGATTGGAGGGGAGTGGGAAGGGATGGGGGAATGAAGCGGGGGGAAATGGGAATAAAGGGAAATGGGGGGAGAAAGGAAGGAATAAGGAGTGGAAAATTGGAGGGGAAATATGGAGGGGAAATGGGAAAAAGGGGGGAAGTGGAGGGGAAATGGAGAGGAAGGACCAGACCCTCAGGAACGTCCCCAAGGGTGGAAGGATTCCAACCCTCTGGCATCCCACGGTGTATCCCTATGGGTCTGGGGGTCCCTATGGGTCTGGGGGTCCCTATGGGTCCGGAGATCCCCTTCTGGATTTTGGGGTGCCTCAAGGATCTGGGGATCTCTTATGGATCTGGAGCTCCTTCGTGGATCTGGGTTTCTGTTATGGATTTGGGGGTCCCTATGGCTCTGGGGATCCCTTATGGACCTGGGGGGTCTGCATGGCTTTGGGGGTCCCTTATGGCTCTGCACAAACCCGATGGATTTGGGGAGAGTCCCTTATGGCTCTCGGGGTCCCTATGGCTCTGGAGACACCCTACAGATTTGGGGGATCCCTGTAATTTGGAGGCTCCCTATGGCTCTGTAGTTGCCTTTGAATCAGCAGAATCCCCATAGATCTGGGGGGGTCTCCTTGCCTCTGGAGATGCCCCATGGATTTGGGGGATCCCTTACAGGTTTGGGGGGGTCCCTATGGCTCTGGGGACGCAGGGACACCACAGAGCAATGGCCATCAATGGGGCAACACGGGGGAGGGGGGGAGGAACGTGGAACCCACAGAGCGGCAGCTGCTTCTCCCCCATTCTGATCTCCACCCGAAACGCTGCTTCCTTCCCGGAAAGCCCCGCAGATCGGCACCCAGCGCCCTGCGGCCATCGGCAGCGCCTCCCCCGGCCCCCGCCGCGTGCCTTCCCCAGATCCACCCGCAGGCTGTGCAGCGCAGAAATGCCCCCGCGCGGCTCTCCCCCCTTCCGCCAATTATTCGGGGTTTTCACTTTGGTGAGCCCGGAATCCCTTCCCCCATCGCTTCCGATGGGACGGAGCGTCCCTCGCGCCGACCCCAAAGCGCAGCATCCCTGCAGACGTGGGGCACGGCCCCTTACCTGCACGCCGCCCGTCCCGCTCGCCACCCGTTCGGCTCCTGCCTCCATCTCGGTGCTCATCGTCCCCCTCTCGGTGCCCGTCGCTGCCATCCGGCTGCTCGTTGTCCCCATCTCGGTCCCGTTGGTCACCGTCCCCATCCCGCTGCTCACCGTTCCGGTCTCGATGGCCGTCGCCCCCATCTCGATGCTCGCCGTCTCCACCTGGTCGCTCAGCGTCTCGCTCTCAGTCGTTGTCCCCATCCCGGTCCCAGCGGTCGCGCTCCCACTCTCGGCGGCCATCGTCCCCCTTTCGGTGCTCATCACCTCCGTCTCCTCGCTCACCGACTCCACCCTGCTGCCCACCGTCCCAGTCCCAGCCGTTTCCATCTCAGCGCTCATCATCGCAGCCTCGCCGCTCCCCGTCCCCATCTGGGCGGCCATCCCCATCTCGGTGCTCAAGGTCCCCATTTCGGTGGCACTTTCGGGCCTTTTGGCCGTCGGCGCGGCCGCTTTATGGCAGCTGATGGGCGACCATTGGCTGGGCAGGGCAGGGATAAGACAGGATTGCGGCCGGGCTCGGCTTTAATCCCCGGCGCCGTGGGTCGGGGCTGCGGAGCAGCAGAGATGCCGCACCGCGCGTGGGTCGGGGTCCTCGGGGGCAGCGCCGTCGCAGCCCCGCGTGTGGCCGCAGAGGGCTGACGTTGCTTTTCACGGCCGGCGGTGGGATGACGAATCCAACCCCCATCTCCTTCCCTTTCTCTTTAATGTGGAGATGCTACCTGCCCCGGGGGGGACACGCGGCCGCCATCCCCACACCCCCCTCCCTACGTGACCGCAGCCACGCGCGGCTCCGGAAGAGGAGCTGTGAGCAAAGAGGTTTAATGCGGATGGTTCCTTAATTCCATCAGACGGGATTAACGAGGCGGGAGGGCAGCGCCGGCAGGAATCCATTCCCCACCGTAACCCCGTGAGGTTCCCCAGCCCGGCCAGGCAGAGGGAAGGGAAAGGCAGAAATCGGCTCCTGGCGCAGGGAGGGCGCAGGCACGGAGCTGGAAGCCGGCTCTCAGCCCTGCTGCCTGCTCTGAGCAGGGCGCCTTCCCTCCGCCAGGTGCTGCCATGGTCCCATCCGACCCCATCCCATCCCCGTCCCATTCATCCCCACCCCATCCCCATCCCATCCCATCCCATCTCCACCCCATCCCATCCCATCCCATCCCATCCCATCCCATCCCCATCCCATCCCATCCCACCCCATCCCATCCCATCTCCACCCCATCCCATCCCATCCCCACCCCATCCCACCCCACCCCATCCCATCCCATCCCATCCCATCCCATCTCCATCCCATCCCATCCCATCCCATCCCATCCCATCCCATCCCATCCCATCCCATCCCATCCCATCCCATCCCATCTCCACCCCATCCCATCCCATCCCATCCCACCCCATCCCATCCCATCCCATCCCATCCCACCCCATCCCATCCCATCCCATCCCACCCCATCCCATCCCATCCCATCCCATCCCATCTCCATCCCATCCCATCCCATCCCAAATCCCATCCTATCCCAAATCCAATCCCATCCCATCCCAAATCCCATCCCATCCCAAATCCCATCCCAAATCCCATCCCAAATCCCATCCCATCCCATCCCATCCCAAATCCCATCCCAAATCCCATCCCAATTCCAATCCCACCCCATCCCACCCCATCCCATCCCATCCCATCCCATCCCAAATCCCATCCCATCCCATCCCATCCCACCCCATTCCATCCCATCCCCACCCCATCCCATCCCCATACCCATCTCCATCCCATTCCATCCCACCCCATCCCAAATCCCATCCCATCCCATCCCATCCCACCCCATCCCATCCCATCCCATCTCCATCCCAT